TGTAATTCTTTTTCAAAAAGAGTAAGCAATTCTGTAAAAGCACGTACATAAATACTATCATCGATCTGTACTTTTTGTTCAACAACAGGTTCACTTGTATGTACTTCTTTTGTCACAGTAGACTTGGGATCCACTTTTTCAACTTCTTGAGAAAGTGACTTTTTAGGAATATCTGATTTGACATCAATTTTAACAGGAATTGATACTTTTTCCTCCGTAGTATTTACCATAGTTGGTGGAGGCTGTTGAAAAAATCCAGCAGCTTTTAATGAATCACCAAAGATATTTGCTATTGCTGTTTTAGGACGTTCAGGTGTTATGTTTCGATTTTCTTTTGGACAGGGAGTACTAGTTATTGCTGAACTTAATGATACATTAGAAGGTAACGTGTTTGGAGAAGATGGTAACAAGTTTACAATCTCAGTAGGTGGCGAAGTAATGTTAGGACAATTGGGAGTTAAATTAACCATGTGAAAACTACACAATTGACCAGAAGTTCCTAAAATATGAAGCATGGGAACAGGATGTGGAAGAGTTGTATCAGTCCCCCATGGTAATTTTTGTACTGGTGTTTTATCTATGACCAAACCAACTGGATAACTTTCTGTCGTTTTGATAAGTGGTAACTGTGCTCTACCACTATCGATCAATATCCATTGATTCCAGCTACTACCATTATCTGTTGATCCTAAAACAGCTACTTCACTACTCCAACTACTTGCTGCAATAATGAGACCCCACTCTTGCACATAATCAAAATAATAACGTGGAGTATCTTTATTTCCTTCTGTCTCAAAGACTCCATATGTAATATCTTCGTAACATGTAAAAATTGCATTTGTTTCTCCTTTAGGAGCATCAATAATAAGTACATTGATATGGTGTTCTTCATTTAAATAAGCTGCACAAAATTGATAATTACTAATCCATAAAATCGCTATAACTTTACCAATGTAAGGATTAGGTCCTATGATTATTCTAGCTATTTTTAAATCTGGCTTAAGTTGCACTATATTTCCATTCTTACATCCTACAACAATTTGTTTTCCTTTAAGGCTCCATGCCAAACATAATGCATCAATTCCATTTAATTTCTCTAAAGCTTTTAATCCAACTGCTTTTTCCTTTCCATCTTTTATTTCAAAATTACCAATACTATGATCTGTAGTTACAGTACAGAACATTCTTGGCATACTAGGATTCCATCGTAAATCTAACACAAAAGTTTCTACGTTTGATAAAGATAATTGAATTTCATGTAATAACACGATATCCTAAAAATAATAAAATATGAAATATAAATATATTATTTTTATAAATTGTAATGTTATTATATACATACATGTTTTATGAAGGCATGAGCATCATAGATGAATACTTTAGGTACCAATGGTGTAACGGCAAGGTAAGAATAATCACAATTAAATGTTATCTTAGATATAATGAATGGTAAATTGACTTCTATTTTGCGTTCTACATTAATTTCGCTTCCTGATGATAATATAATCAATTTGTCGTTATTTGCTATATAAAGTAATCCTCTTTTTCTGTCTACAGTAATAAGATTGCAAGCTATTGGAATGGATGCGAAACTATTACATATTTGAGATGTATTTGCTTGTTTAAACAGAAATTCCTAAAATCATAATATTTCAAGATTAATATTATTTTATATTTACTTTATTTATATCTGTTTTAATTAACACGCAATATTTTATACGTGTATATATATATATATATATATATATATATATATATATATATATATATATATAGTAATATTAATAAAAAAAAAATATAATTATAGAATTATAAAAAATATATAATTATAAATATTAGTAAAATATAAAGGATGATTTCACAAGTTTATGCAATTACTATTTATTTATATATACATGATATAAAATCATTGAAGAGATTTATTCAAACGTTATTATAACCATACCTGCACATCTTTCGAATCAGGAGCCGTGTTCATGATTAATAAAACTTTGTATTTTAGTTTATTGTCAGATAAAAAAATAAAATATATAATTCCCGTAGAAAATATTAAACGTTAACAACAAATTAAACGTAGTAATAAATGGATTTTCATAAATATAATCTAAATTTCTTTCCTAGCAAGTTTCGTAATAAAAGAGAAATTATAATACAAAAGAAATCGAAGAAATTATAAATCAACGATATTAATTACATATTATTTTATAACGATTGCAAATAACACTGTTGACAACATAACATTTCTTATTATACAAGATCTTATTCTCAAAATTAAATTAAACACTGTTCAAAACTCGTTTATGTTAGTTTATCTACTTCGTATCTTTCGTACGTAACGAAACTCAACTGAAAGAAGATAATTACAAAATATGACACTAGAGGTCTCATCGTTCGCACGTTTGCAACTCGTATAATAAAGTTAGGTTAAGAAGTACATGTGATTGAATATTGTTACTGTGAATAAATTTAATAATTTTTGTAATGATAATTGTAAGCTGACATAAATTGTATTCATAATGGAACAATTACGTATGTATTACTTTTATCTGATAATGAACATTTTATTTTTGCATTTATGTATACATAAATATATGTATTATACATAAATAAATAAATATATAAATCCTTTTTTTTTTATTTTAGATAAAAAAAGGCACCCAAAAAGAGTTCCCATTAGCAAAGAGAAACTCTTGAAGTATCATAAAGGAGCGGGGATTAACTTACAAAATAAGACCACTAAGATAAAACATAAAATACATAGGGAAAAACTTAAACTAAAAGAAAATGTTATAAGAACAGCAATTGAGAATACTGCCAGAGCAGAATTACTTTTAACTGAAGATCATGGTCATTTAGAAGCTGATGCTGGAGAGACAACGACTCAATATAAGCAATCAGAAATTGCTGCTAACGTTGATATAACGAGTGCTACAAAGTTCTTTACGTTAGATTTAAATTTTGGTCCATATTGTTTAAGATATTCTAGAAATGGTAGACATTTAGTCTTAGGTGGTAGAAAAGGACATGTAGCAGCATTTAATTGGGTGACAAAAAAACTTGCCTGTGAAATGAACGTTATGGAATCTGTACATGATTTATCATGGCTTCATATTGAGACAATGTTTGCAGCTGCACAAAAAGATTGGGTTTATATTTATGATAATCAAGGAATAGAACTTCATTGTTTAAAGGCAATGAATGAAATAAATAAATTAGAATTTTTGCCATATCATTTTTTACTTGCTAGTGGCTCTAGAAATGGTAATCTGGCATGGCTGGATGTTTCTATAGGAACAATGATTTCTCGTTATTATACCAAGTTGGGTAATATATCTGTATGTTTCATTAACAGACATATTTAAATATGTATACATATAATATAAAATATATTAATTAATAATTTAAATTAATATTTTAATACAGGTAATGACACAAAATCCAAGTAATGCACTTATTTGTGTTGGTGATTCCAAAGGAGTAGTATCAATGTGGTCTCCAAATACTAGGCAACCACTAGCAAAAATGCTTTGTCATAAACAAAAGGTTGAAGCTTGTACTGTTCATCCATATGGAACTTATATGGCAACAAGTTGTCCAGATAGATCTTTGAAAGTTTGGGATATTCGACAACTTGCGGGTCCTGTTCATAATCTGTTTCTTCGATATCCAGCACAATATTTATCATACAGTCAACGTGGTCTTTTAGCAGCTGCTATGGGAAATGTAGTAGAAGTTTATAGGTAAAATGATAGTCTTGTAACATTTTATATCATATAAATTCTAGATAACGGTATATTTAATTTGTTAATATATTTAAACTATTTATAGAGAATCTATGAATGAAATCAAGCCATATTTAAGACATAAATCATCGTGGAATATAACAAGTATGCAGTTCTGTCCGTATGAAGATGTTTTAGGTATTGCTACAGCAAAAAATATTTCATCTCTTCTAATTCCTGGAAGTGCAGAAGCTAACTATGATGCTTTAGAAATAAATCCATATCAAACGAAGAAACAAAGACGTGAGGCAGAGGTTAAAGCGCTTTTAGATAAAATTCAACCAGAATTAATAACATTAGATCCAACAGCGATAGCAGAAGTTGATGTGCCTAAATTAAAAGAAAAAGTAGAAGCAAAAAAGAAACTCTTAGTAAGTAATAAAATGAATATTTCAATATTAAAGATTTTACAATACCATTATTTTTACATTATTATGATCATATATAAAATAATATATATTAAATTATACAAATGTTTTCAAATTGTAGTATATTAAACCAAAGGAGATTGATTTTAAACCACGTAACAGTAAGGCGAAAGGAAAAGGTGGAACTGCGAAAATAATTAAAACTAAAAAGATATTAAAAGATTTAAAACGTAGAGTAAGTATTGGAATAATTTTAAATTGACACAAGCTTTTCTACGGATATATATATATGTATATATACTTAACCAATATTATTTTTAGGAGAACATAGAAATGCTTAAGGATGTAAATACAGAAATGAATACAAAAAAAGTGGAAGTTCCAAAGAAAAGTTATGGTGTTTTGGATAGATTTGTTTCTAAATGAAGTAACGATATCAGTTAGATTATGAAATTTTCAACAGATATTGATATAATCTAAACGTAAACAAATGTTGTTATAGGTTATATCGAATTCACAATAATCTAAATATTTTATAAATTATGCACACTTATAGAAAAATATAATAAAGACATCATTTTTTTCTGATAATTATATTACAATATTATGTTAAAATTTAAGGATTTGTCATTACATTTTGAATCCGCCATTTTTTGGCGCCAACGTTGACGAATTCGTTCGTAGAATTCCCTGCATCAGTTCACAAAATTTTCATTGACGAATTTCTTATTATATAACAGTAAGTACAAAAATTATATATTTTTTGTCAATTCGTTTATTGAAATATTTAACAAATAATGTAAAAATTAAAAGATTCAATTGAATTTCTTGTCTTTCCCTTTTTTTTTTCACCCCTTTGCTTTTTAATAACCATCATCCGAATATGTAATATCATAATCGGTATATTTTTTTTTCAACAAATCGACTGTCACCTGATGATCGGCTTTTCCGTATCCCTGTAAAATCAATCAAATCCTTAAAATAAACATCTAATTCGCAAAATTCATTTAAATGTTAACGAGTTCTCGATTTATATGATATTAGCTTATAGTAATATTTAATCTACTATTACCGACTATAAATAGATAAAGTAGGAATCTATTATTATTAATTTAATTTGTACATCGCATCTATATATATATATATATATATATATATATATATATATATATATATATATATATATATATATATATATAGACTATAAAATATATAAATAAATAAATATAAATTATATATATATATATATATACATATATAAATAAAGAAATTTAACAACAATATATATATATACAAATATAAAAATCGAATTATTTTTATGATTATTTATAATATTTGTTAACTTACTTGCGAATAACCATAAACCTTGATAGACTTTTTTTCAGGATCATGTAATATTCTTCCACCACCTAAGCTCTCCACTTCGAGATCAGGATATTGTTTCAATTGTTCAGTAGTCTCTTCGTAAACATTGTCTATAATATAAAAATCGTAAAGATATAAAATATCTCATCGGATCTAAATAAAATATAGAATTGTTAACTAATTTGTCGTTTGTGGATATTGTAAAGAAAATAATAAAGAAGAAAAAAGAAAAAGAAAAAAAAAGAAAATAGAGAATATGAACGAAGAAAATAAATAAGAGGAAAAAGGAGAAGATAAAGCGACTTTATTCAATTTTGTACTATAAGTTTTCAATGCAATTTCAACGAAAAAGAAAGAAATCGTATCTCTTTTGTGATAAAAGAATAGACGAAGATTAAAATATGTTGTCATTTTGACCTAAAATCCAAGATATTCGATATAAATGCGTACTCCTTGTAAGTAAAAAAAAAAAAAAATGGAAGGACATTTTAAAATTTACGATAATATCGAGGGTTGGGGAGCGAGGGAGGGGACGGGGTGAGGGGATATATGAAATAAATTATACGACGAAAGGAATTCTTCAGTTGTAATTCTAGATCGATTTCCATGAACACGGTTTCATTATAAAGATGAAGGTTTGAACGAGAAAAGAAGATTATTTTTCTTCTTTTTTTTCTTTTTTTTCAAACTTTTAAAAAAAGCTTTGCTTTCATTGAAAACAAATATATTTCGGTATTACGTCCCATAACACTATCTTACTCGATATATCTTGTATGTCTATGTAGTAATGTAAACAAGAATGTACATACGGTTCGAACGACCTTGTTAATTATAGGAGTCAGTTTTCTTTTGCATTTCGACGAATAAACATCAAAATCGTATATCTTCTGGCGTACGATGATTTTAATTTAAATAATTTATACTATCAATTATTTACACATTCATCATTTAATCATTATACGATATAAATGATGATAAAATCAGTCTAACATTTAAACAGTAATATATATATATATATATATATATATATATATATATATATTACTATATATATATATATAGTATATATATATATATATATATATATATACGGTCTTTTATAAATTTCAATTTATTAATATTTTCACGTTATTAATATTTTATTATAGAAAATTATTTTATATTTTACTTAATACTTTAGCATCGTCAATTCTATCGATTTATTATTATCAGACGTATTAATATTTTTATCATTTAATAGACAAATTTTTGTCGCACATTAACCCAATCATTACACGTGAGGGAGGAGGGGGGAGGGTGTAAGGGGTGTATATAATCTATAGAAGGCTTATATATACACCGATATGATAGGCGCATAGTAAAGACATTGTTTTGACAACCCTATTATGCTTGTAGTTAATATTTTGTCAATAAATGTTACAGAAATTACATCGGTGCTTTTAGCAATAATTACACATCCCCATCGAAGCGAAAATTGTTGGATAGTTTTAAAAGATATTGAAATTATTATCCGTTACGTGGAACGTCTAACGTTAAAGATAAGTATATACTTATTTATAAAAAAAAAAAAAAAAAAAAAAAAAAAAAGACAGGCTATTTTAGAATTGACAAATATTTTTTACGCGAATTCTGCAAGATCTACGATATAAAGATATTATTTATTAACTTTAAGAAAAAACGAACTGACAATTTATTTTATTTTTTTACTTTTAAAAAACGACGAATGGTCTCATATATTAAAAATGCAAAATCAATGACGACCATTTGACGAATTTAAAAACGTATTGGAAACGACAAAAAATCGATTATAAAAGAAAATTTATTTATCTCTGTATCTCTCTCTCTCTCTCTCTCTCTCTCTCTCTCTCTCTCTCTCTCTCTCTCTTGCTCTCTCTTTTTCTTTTATTTATTATCTCGCCAAGTTCTCATAATCAGTCATTTCTCCCAGTGGGTATTAAAAGCACGAACAGGTAAAACACTAAGTGCAAAACATGGTAATAGTATAGTACAGAGAGTAGCTCTAGCAAATATATCCATATGGTTCTTTCGTTGAGTGACGCGTAACTCGATTTCCGGTATATACTTAAAAAAAAAAAAAAAAAAGAAAAGAAAAAAAAGAAAAGCGAAAAAAAAAAGGAAAAGGATTTAAATCTTTCTCTCTCGTATATTAATTGTTTCGTTCAACCTTGTTTATCGATCAATTTACGAAATTATTTCTTTTACGCGCCAAAGTACTATATATATATATATATATATATATATTCTCTCTAGTTATTTTTTTTTTTTTCCAATTATTATCATTTCTCTCTCTAATTATTTCTTTCTCTAATTATTATCATTTCTCTTTCTCTCTTTCTCTCTCTCTCTGTCTATCTATCTATCTATCTTTTTTCTTATCTCATCCTCATTTAATTTCTTTCTTTCTCCGTATCTATTATTTCGCTCATTTTCAATGTAAAAATAACAGATCCGATGTATATGTAACTCAAAAGGGGATTCTAAATCGATGATCGCCTTTGGAATATGTCGAAGTCTTATATTAGAAGAAAGAAAATGCAGGTCAACAACGGCACTCGATACTTAGGTGCAATAACGAAAGGAGATAGTTTTATTATTACGATTTTAACGGCTAGCATTTTGCGATTTACGAGCGATAATTTTGTCCTTGTTACTTCCTAGACGATAAAGCGTGAGATAATACAAGAAGAGGATATTTGAGATATACAATACGATATCTTGATCTCGTTAAAAGGGAAAAAATTGTATTTTAAAATTGTATATTTTTTCCTTTATTTTCTCTTTCTATCTCTCTTTCTCTCTCTCTCTCTCTCTCTCTTTCTCTTTTTCTCTCTCTTTTTTTAATTGTTAGATCGCATGATTTTTTTAATGATTATATCTCTTAAAATACCTCGGTTGATTTGGTTTTCCTTCTCTTTTCTTTTTTTTTTTTTTTTTCCTTTTTTTTTCGTCGAATTAGTGATCGATCATTCCATCGGTCGATTCTTCGATCGGTTGATCTTTCTGGTTAAACGAGACGGAAACTGGAAAAACGTGGAAATTAAAATACGCAGAATATTCCGTTGATATTCGGATATAAACGATGTGTGGTTTACGATTCTACGCGCGTTATCTTGCATAAAAATAATCTCAAAGTTATAGTAATATTTAATGTGCTTGAATTGAAAAAAAAAAAAGGAAAAAAAAAGAGAGAGAGAGAGAAAAATATTATTTACATCTCCGAGAGATAAAGAGAGAGAGAGAGAGAGAGAGAGAGAGAGAGAGAGAGAGAGAGAGAGAAAAGAAAAAAACATACGTCGAATTTCATTAAAAAAAAATCCCATCGACATTTTAATGTCTTAAAAATGATAAAAACAATAACAAAAATTTCAATACTACATTACATCATTTCCTTCAATATACAATTCATAATACAATTTACTTATTTTTTTTTTTTTGTTAATAGAAAATATCATTATATTGTTTATTTCTTTATTATTTATTTATTTATCTAAAAAGAAAAAAAAAGAAAAAGAAAAAGAACGATGAGAAGAAAAAAATTGCTGATCTTATAAAAGTCTTATTAAACTAAAAACAATAAAAAAAAAAAGTATAATTGAAAATAATAATTAACATAATTTCATTCGGATAATATAACATAATCTCATTCGGATAATATAACAGATGTTTCTCATATTACTTATTGAGAATTTACAAATCTATCAAAATTACGTAGATCAACGGTGTATGTATTTATGTACGTATATATATTTATATATATTTATGTAATATGTATAAACAGTCATGTAAATCGACTATGACTACAGTGTCAGATTGAAAATCGTAATAATTGTTTATAGAGCTTATCTTATTGAGTAGAAACGACATGATATTAATTACTGTTTCATCAATTGTCATTATTTATTCTTGATTAATCGATCGATTGACATATCTGGTTTTCACGAATAGAATCCTCATTAAACAATCTTGACAAACTATTAATGAATCTACTTTGTTTTTGTTTTTATTCTTTTATATATATATATATATAGAAAAATGTTACACTTTTTCGTAATACAACAATACTTTGTTACCTTGTTACGTTAAAAGAACAAAATAAAATAGATAGAATTAAAAAAATTAATTAATTAATATATATATATATATATATTATATATAATTTTTTTTTAGATATATTATTATTTTTTATAATATAGATCGAAATAGCAATGAATAAATATATATATATATTTTTTTTTTCTTCTTAATTATTTATAAAACAAAAACAAGGAAAATAAGAATAACTCAATCTCAAAATAATCAAATGCATGATAATACATTAAAGTATTACAACGAAACGATTATATTTTACTTTATGAAAAGTAAATTGTAAAAAAGTTTTTTATAGAGAAGAATGATAATAGATTTAAATACAAAATGAAGAAACACATATATTTGGCTTTTAGGAAAAATTCGTTTTTAGAAAATTCGTATGTTTAGAGTTCTTCTACGCGTGAATATTTTTTCGTATGTATGCAAATGGAAATGGACGGTCAAGGTTGGGTCACATCGTTGAATCATTTCGTGAAATAAACGAGGAAAACTTTATCTCTATGTCTATCTCTATTTCTATTTTTTCATTCTAAAGCAACGTAATATTACGATGATTTCTTTCGATTTAATTACTCTCTTTCTCTCTCTCTCTCTCGATGGTTTTTTTTTTTTGATGTTATTGAGTCAAATATAATATATATGAACACAAAGATGAATCTTGGAAAATGTCATGCTTACATTATTGTTTAACAAAATTTTTAATAACAATGTCATTTTAGGAAAATCAACAAAGTTTATTCGTTTCCTTTCCTTTGTAAAACTTGTACATATATACATACATACATACATACATACATACATTACATATATTATATATATATATATATATATATATGTATGTATGTATGTATGAGAGAGAGAGAGAGAGAGAAAAAAGTTAGATAGAATGAGTGTGAGAGAGAAAGAGAAAGAAAATAAACAAGAAAGAAAGAAACGTAGAAAGGAAGATGGAACGAAGATTGACGTAGAAATTTTTAAGAAAATAAAATTTCGCAAAAAA